AAAGTGTGCTGTGACGCGGCAACGGCCACAAAAATTGCCGACCACGAAAATTGCCTGTACGAGCAACGAAAATGGTGAAGTGTGCTGCTAGCTTTACAGTGTGAGAATTTGTCTTGTTGTGCAGAATAAATTCATGACCGCGTCGTTTTTCATCAAATATTATTTATGTGGTTAACCATCAGAATATCAGGAGTCTATCAATTGATAATATGCATAAATTACTGTGATGTTCAAAAAATGTGTATGAATTTGAATTTTGTGATCGATTCTCATCCAATCAGCAGCCTTGTGACATGAAATTATGAAGTTCCTGTTATCGTGAGTTTGCTCGTAGCTACGATGTGTTTCTGTCAACGCTACTCTCGTAACATTAACATTAGTCGTAAGTGTTATCGTAGCATTAACATTAGCATTAACTTTACGATTTTTCTGACAACGGCCCCCAGACTTTCCGTATATCAAGGAATGATGCAAAAACCCTAACCCTAACCCTAACACACTTCGTGATACCTAAGGTTATATACTTTATGACTTAGGGTTAGGGTTAGGGTTTTTGCATCATTCCTTGATATACGGAAAGTCTGTGCATCAGTTGATGATACACAGAAATCAGAATTGGGTTTGCGCCCTATACGTTTTCGAATTGATCGTATGGCACATACATGCCATGGCCCAATCCTACTCCTAGTTTGGTTTTTGTATTGGCAATCGAGGATAAATTGCCCGAATACCTGACATGCCTTCTGAAATTCCTGGGGAGAATCCTGACTACGTATGCGTGCGTATATTCCCGTGTTAACTTTTTACTGTCGTCATGTATGATCAATGACGTCTGACCGATATTATCGCTGACAAGGTTGCCAACTAGTAACGCTCAAGGGGTCGTTGTCGTATCAGGTACTACAGATATGTACCTGAGGTACATATATGTATAAACAAAGTGTACCAGACTTGTACTACAGAAGTGTACCCTAACCCTAACCTTAACCCTAACCCTAAACATACCGTACCTCATATAAAAATATAAACATAATACTACATTTTAATAGTAATACTAAACAACCTAAAACTACCTCGGGTACATATGATATATCTGTACTGTAGTACCGCAGATGGGGTCGTTGTCGTATCAGGTACTACAGATATGTACCCGAGGTAGTTTTAGGTTGTTTAGTATTATGTTTATATGACTATGAGGTATGTTTAGGGTTAGGGTTAGGGTTAGGGCTAGGGTTAGGGTTAGGGTTAGGATTAGGGTACACTTCTGTAGTACAATTAAGTCTGGTACACTTTGTGTATACATATATATGTACCTCGGGTACATATCTGTACTGTAGTACCTGATACAACGACCCCTTGAGCTGTAGTACCTGATACGACAACGACCCCATCTGCATTAGTATTAGCAGGAGTCTATCAGTATCAATAGATATTGTCTTATTGATACTAGACTCCTGACACTACGTTGAAGTTTTAGTTTGGCTGTTTTTTTCACTCTCAGCTAATTATACGTAGCGACCGACCTGACATATCATGTATACGCTGCATTTTAGGCACGTAGTCGACGACTAGGATAAGTCGACTTGCGCGCGTTACGGCGTACCTGGTGATCAAAGTTGAATCCAGACATCCCATACACGAAATTGTGACCTAGTTGAAGTTCCGTACAAATCTAAATTTAAAAAATATATTTCCGTAGTGTGATCAAGTATGACAAAGTTAACAGTCTTTTGATGAAAAATCCAAGTGTATGAATGCAATGTCAGTAAAAATAAATGGATTTATTCTGCAGAACTCTACAAACACGTTTCACGTGAACAATTCCTAAAGAATACTGCAGACCGCCAATAATGGCGGATAGTGCGTGTGCCGCGCCTCGTTTTCTCGCGAGACAGCTAACATAATTATTTGCAGAAAGAAGACGATTTAGCGAATATTTACGCTAATATTTTTAAGAAAGGTACAACATATTATAAAAGTAAAGATAGAAAACACATGTATTATTATCACAAAGTCATAACGTTACAACTACATTACTAGGCTGTTATCGTTGTTTAATAAATTGTCAGTTGGCCGAAATAGCTCAGTTGGGAGAGCGTTAGACTGAAGATCTAAAGGTCCCTGGTTCAATCCCGGGTTTCGGCAAGAAACTTTTTTGTTTCTACTCCCAAGCCATTATCTTGGTACACACATATGGCATGTATTTTGTTTCATAATTCGATTTTTTGTTTTATGGTTGATTTTATCACTTATAAAATTCACGGATTGAATGCTTCGATTTACGGATCGAATAATGCAATCCGTGAATCGAATCATTCGATCCGTGGATCGAAATAGAGAAAAAGGGACGAGGTATATGAGGAGGGGAGAAGGTGGTACAGGAGGAAGGAGAGAAGGTAGAGGACGAGGGAGAAGATAGTGGGCGAGGAGGAGGGGAGAAGGGGTGGAGGTAGAAGAGGTAGGAAGACGGAGTAGGAGGAAGTAGGAGGACGAGGGAAAGGAAGACGGAGGAGGAGGGGAGAAGGGGAGGAGGTAGAAAAGGGGGACAGGAAGGAGGTAGAAAAGGGGTACATAAAGGAGGTCGAGGATGAGGGTAGGTGGTGGGGGAAGAGGAGGAGGTAGAGGAAGGAGGAGGTAGAAGGGGAGAATGTGGTGGAGGGGAGGGGGAATTGGGAGATAGGGGAGAGAGGAGGTAGTGGAGGGGGAGAAGGTAGAAGAGGGAGGAGGTCGAGGATGGTGGGAGAAAGTGGAAGAGGTAGAGAAGGTAGAGGTAGAAGTAGAAGAGGGAGTAGGTAGAGGATGGTGGGAGAAGACGGAGGAGGTTGAGGAGGGGGAGAAAGTGGTGGAGAAGGAGGGGGAAGAGGAGGGTAGAAGGTAGTGGGGGAGGAGGTAGAGGAGGGAGGAGGTAGAAGGGGAGAATGTGGTGGAGGGGAGGGGGAGTTGAGAGATAGGGGAGAGAGGAGGTAGTGGAGGGGGAGAAGGTAGAAGAGGGAGGAGGTCAAGGATGGTGGAAGAAGGTGGAGGAAGTAAAGGAGAGGGAGAAGGTAGAAGAGGAAGTAGGTAGAGGATGGTGGGAGAAGACGGAGGAGGTAGAGGAGGGGGAGAAAGTGGTGAAGGAGGGGGAGGAGGTAGAGGAGGGAGGAGGTAGAGGAGGGGGAGAATGTGGTGGAGGAGGACGAGGAGTGGGGCGATAGGGGAGAGAGGAGGTAGTAGAGGCGGAGAAGGTAGAAGAGGGAGGAGGTCGAGGATGGTGGGAGAGGGTGGAAGAGGTAGAGGAGAGGGAGAAGGTAGAGGAGAGGGAGAAGGTAGAAGAGGGAGTAGGTAGAGGATGGCGGGGAGAAGACGGAGGAGGTAGAGGAGGGGGAGAAAGTGGTGGAGAAGGAGGGGGGAGGAGGTAGAGGAGGGGAGAATGTGGTGGAGGAGGACGAGGAGTGGGGAGATAGGGGAGAGAGGAGGTAGAGGAGGGGAAGAAGGTAGAAGAGGGAGGATGTAGAGGATGGTGGGAGACGGTGGAGAAGGTAGAGGAGAGTGGGAGATTGTGGAGGAAGTAGAGGAGGGGGAGAAGCTGGTGGAGTAGAAGGGGGAGAAGGTGGTGGGGAAGGAGAAGGGGAAGAAGGTAGAGGAGGGGAAGAAGGTAGAGGAGGGGAAGAAGGTGGTGGAGGAGGTGGCGGAGGAGGGGAGAAGGTGGTGAGGGAGGGAGGGAGGGAGGGGGTCGAAGTGGTAAGTGAGTGAGTGAGAGAGGGAGGGAGGGAGGAGGAGGGAGGAGGGAGAGAGGGATCGAGGTGGCTGAGTGAGAGGGAGGGAAGGAGGGAGGGGATCGCGAAGCGTTCGAGGGTGGTAAGTGAGTGAGAGAGCGAGGAGGGAGGGAGGCAGAGAAAGGGACGGCGAGCGATCGAGGCGTCTTATTGATTTCGTTACGAAATCAATGATTTTGGAACGAAATCAAGTCATGCGCCAAGTGTAGCATGATTTCGTAACGAAATCACTCGCAGTAGCTGATTTCGTAACAAAATCACTCGCAGTAGCTGATTTCGTAACGAAATCACTCGCAGTAGTTGATTTCGTAACGAAATCAGTCATGGGACACTTGGCGAACAGAGGGAGAGAGGTAGAGGGTACGAGACTCAGAGTGGGAGAGAAGAAGATAGAGAGGAGAGGAGAGGAGGAACAGAGAAAGAGTGAGAGATGACAAATTTTAGTTTTTAACTAGTCAAAATTTTAATCAGCAAATGAGCAAATACAATTAAACAACAGATAAGATGGGCGAGTAGACTGAGAGGCAAAGGGAAACAGTAGAAGAAAGTACGGAACGTACAGAGAAAGAGGTAGCGCAGCTAAAATGCAGAAGATTGCATGCAAAACACATATGTAACAGCTGTTCGTTTCACGTAGCCAGACTATTATTTTAGCAGTGAGCGTGACGCGTCGCATCTTTTGTATCTAGCAGTTTGACACATCAGTGTGAATGTGTTGTACCAGAATGCATGGCAGGGGCGTAGCCAGTATGTAGCACTGTAGGCCCGGGCCTACACTTTTTTTGGCCAAGTTATCTTCTTCTTTTTTTAAACACCCATAATTCAAATCCATAAGCTTGCTGGACGAGTTTAAGAGTCTAGACAGCGAAAAACTATTGAAATGAACGTTAGCAAGGAATATGGCTAAATTAGGTGACCTATTCTTCTGTCATCTAGGCTGTCATTTCTATCGCGTCGCGTTTCATTCAACAGCTCTACCCGCCGAAAAAAGACTAGGATCCGATCTTGTTCAGTTTTTTAACATTTTAATCGTTCGTAACACTTATTGTATAACTCAGTTTTGTGTTTTTTGGGTTTAAAAGTGATATTGAATGAGGTGTCTCAAGTTAGCAAGAGGCCAGGGAACCAGAATGAACACTCGGGAAGGGCCGTTTCCGGCCATCTGGGGGGTTTGTAAAACCAAAAATTTTCTTGTACGCTCCGCGCCAACTGATGATGGCGCTCCGCTCAGATAGTCGTGCCTACAACTTTGAAAATCCTGGCTACGCCCCTGCATGGTTATGGCTAAAATGTGGGGGAATCTGGTGGTGGTCGCGGGAGTGAGCACACGCGCTTATGCGCGTGTGCGCGTTTCTTTGTTCCTTTGTGCAAGATGGACACACTGTGTGTAAAATATTAAAGTTTATTCAGGTTACCACACAAGTTTGGATTTCTATATCATTTATATATACATCGAACTTTTAATTCAACGTTACATTTTTTGTGCCAGTGACAGTCAAACACCTGGGTATTCCTTTGCGGACGCAACGTAAGGCACTTCGTTGTCGATCTACGAGCCATACTACGCAAGGAAGATGGAGAAGGAAGAAGATACAGGAGTCGCTGGGTACACCGCTGGCAAGAAAACTGGAGAGAGAGAAACGGACAGCGGACGAGAGACGGAGGAAGAGAGAGAGAGAGAGAGAGAGAGAGAGAGAGAGAGAGAGACGGGAATAGGAGCAAGAGTAGGATAAACGAAGAACGACGGAGAGCGATCGACAGAGACGAAGAATGGCGGAGAGCGAGATGGGAGGAACAGAGCGAGACGCGGGAGAGAGAATGGTGGATACACACGGCGTATATGAACTACTCTGAGTAAGTCAGCGTAAAGGAAGGAAGGGCCGGTGTTGTATCCGTGATACTGCAAGGGCAAGTCTGAGTCTCGACCTATGTGTGAGAGAGAAAGGAGAGCAGAACAGAGAAGGCAAGGCTGACAGAGCAGAGACAGAGGACGGGAAAGATATATTGCGGACTGTAATGGCTAAACAAAATTATAGAATTTAATTGGTGGAAAGCTTCAATCTCGTGCCGTCGAAACTGGACGTGAAAGTATGACATTATCAGGAATGTGTATTTTTATCTGTTTTATGTACGCGGTATTTTTTCCATGGTAGATGCTTGTGACCGTTTGTCTTTGTGTGAGAAAATCTTTTGTGTGAAACTCTGTATAGAAATGTGTGATCGTTTTCTTGAATTTGTGCTAACGGTACGTTTACGCTATATTGTCAGACTGCTAAACACATTCTTCAATTAGAGTTTGATAGGCCTAAAACATTTCATCGAAAATATGAAATCAGTTTTGCGTATTTTTTTTGGCTGTATGATGTGTGGAAGTGACAAAGATTGTCAGGTCCACATCGGTGCTGTGTGTAATAATGGGATTAAGAGGTTTAAATGAGGATGCAATGGAGCACATGGCTAAACGTGGTTTCGGTAATGCGTGTCGGTATACGCAGACGCCATGTACGTTACAGCATAAAAAGACGCAAGAGTGAGAGTAATTGCAGCGATATCAAAATGTTCACCGCCAAATGTGTTAAATTTCTGACTAGTATGGTGATCGAACTTTATCGTTACTTGTTTTGTAGAGTATAAATATAGTTAATGATTCAGTAACGTTGAAAACCTAGTTTAGATCGGCCAGGAGTCCGAAATCACAATGGGGCATCGTGTTAAGAAAAGGGGGAGAGAAATGTAACAGCTGTTTGTTCACGTAGCCAGAGACTATTATTTTAGCAGTGAGCGTGACGCGACGCATCTTTTGTATTTAGCAGTTTGACACATCAGTGTGAATGTGTTGTACCAGAATGCAGGGTTATGGATAAAATGTGGGTGAGTCTGGTGGTTATCGCGGGAGTGAGCACATGTACACGTGCTTATGCGCGTGTGCGCGTTTCTTTGTTCCTTTGTGCAAGATGGACACACTGTGTGTAAGATATTAAAGTTTACTCAGGTTACCACACAAGTTTGGATTTCTATATCATCATTTATACATCGAACTTTTAATTCAACGTTACACATACATAATATCAGAAGTAGATAATAGGGATATAATTACTATTATCCTATTATCTACTTCTGATAATATATAAAGAGTAGATGATTGAATGTAACAATTCAATTATTGTCACAAGCGTCAAAGTAGGAATATCATCACTGCTACTTACAACGATGTTTCAAACAGTTTTCTAACCGTTCTCATGCAAGAGAAAGAACCGGACCAAGCACCATATATACCTGCAGTAGTAGTGTTCGGATTGGGAATAGTTGTATCAAATTAGGTCAAATGGTAGTGAGCTTTGGTAAGAGCACACTCCCACATTTTCTCAAATAAAAAAGTGACTTAATTAAACAGCAAGAGGTAAGCATAAAAACATGTTATTTATAAAGAAATCCATACAAGGCCACCATAATAAATAATTCAACACATTAACAGTGAGAAGTAAGGACAGATGATATCACGGTCATTATAATAGTCTTCCTCTTTACGTACATTGCCTGCCATCTGTTACAATATAATCCTAAAAAGTATATTTAATTCGTCATTACACTAGCCACTAGTAGCACGCATTTAGCAATTAATGTGGGCTTCAAAGTAATTAAGAATGTTTTATAACCTTTTAATTTCAGTAAAATATTCACAGATAAAATTGCTCCCATTTACTGCCACTTGAGTGTATCTCTTCTTTTGTTACTAGGGCACGGGTATTACTGCTTGGCAATATGTTATCCTTGCAGGATGCCCGTGGTTGAAATGTTGGGACAATTCGTGACTCAGGTATGGATCCTGAAAGCTATAATTAAGAAATACAATATAATTATTAGCAGCATATACAGGCAAAATGTAGTTTAACACGCATCGGCTTTTTATTACAGTAAAATAGCCCCCTCATATGAATTACATACACATTTAACTCCCCAAGTACTTCATATCACAGATTCTGTAGTATATATTATATAATTTTCTATGCTATAGTAATGGCACTTTTAAACTGTTATAAAACCAAAAGGGGAACTGTCAACACAACTATTAAATTACACTCGATGGTAGTATATGTACACGATTAGCTGTTTTAAGCTCAATATCCTGGGTTTCATCATGATATTAAAACAAGTGCCGCAGAGCGACAGCGCTCAACTGACGTGTACTGTAGCCAGGTATTCTTCTGATAAACTCACTGGCAACCGAATCAAGTGCGCCCTAGCTCCTGCCACCGCGTTCGTGCTCAGAGCATATATCTAGGACTATACTAATACAGATCTAAAATCTATGATAGGCTTTGATATACTTACTGGTACTACAGTAATAAAGAGACAGCTGTGTAACTTTAATGACTTCGCTATATTAACATGTTATCATGGATATGCGTCGTGCGTGAGCGTCGTTAACAGTCAACAAATCCATGTTTAACCCTCTTCAAGAGGGTCAAAAGGTTATCCGACACTTACTCTTCGCATGTCAGCGGAAAGTACATTTCATGGTCCTTTCAATAAAGCCATAAAAATGGTAGGTTACCGCTGAAACAAAAAAGTTTTTCAATCGCTCCGTCATACCATGTCCTCAGAAAATGTCTAAAATCTGCCCTGTGCCCCATTGACCTTTGACCTCCAATTTCGGCACAGTGATGGCTTTTCCTACCATGATGCTATACACCGACTATCACGAGCCTAGGCCGAGCCGTTTAGATTTGTGCCGCAATTCTGCATTTCCTCCCTATACCTTAAGTTAAGGAGGGAATGTTCCCCCTTCTTTTACACCTCTTGACCTTTGACCCCCAGCTTCGACATCCCAACTGTTTTCGGATTACCCCCCCCCACGTCCCGAATATCGTGACCGTACGTCGAGCGGTTAAGATTTGTGCCCAACTGTTGACAGACGGACGCACGGACGCACGCACAGACAATCATGCGATGCTACAAGCTGCATCTGACTACGTCAGCTGAGCTAAATACATACACTCCTGATGATATGACATTTAATAAAATTTCTAACAGATAAGGTAAAGCCAAAAAACCATGCCAATATCCCTGATAGCTTCTTACTAAACACTATATCAAACACCAACCTTATTTGATTGCTGCTCATCACAGGGAATATATACATGGGACTTTCTCTTTTTCACATCATTAACTTGGCTTCCAGTGTTGCTGATAGCCTCATATGATCTTTGTCGACATTTCTTTCTTTTTTGAGCAGGATCATCACTTGGGATGCAGCGATCCTATACACATGCATAACACATTAAACATTTCAGGTAAAAAAAATAAATTCGAGTTGCTTGTATAAATATGAATACTTTTTTTGCATATATACTAAATGTGTGCAATCATTACCCAGCTAGAAATATAGTCTTCTTCGGCATCTATGATATCAGTCTTTGTCTGTTCCTCTTCAATAAATTGGGGCCATTTACTAGATATCTCATCAGAGCCCGTTGGTTGGTCAAAATGTAAAACCTATAAAAACAAACGTGAAAAGCAATCTCATTTTCGGAGAGAATTTCATTAAAGGTCCTATAAACCATATAATCGCGACCAAATAGATACCTTGAGCTAGAATGCAAGTGTACTTAATTTCACTGCATCACTTTCATCATTTTCTATGCACACATTGGTCATTGTCGCAACAGGAAACTAAAAATGGCAATGGCAATGGCTTCTATCATGCACATACACTTCACCCTCTATTTAACTGACCCCGATTTAGCGGAAGCAACGGACAAAAAATTCGCACTTTTAGAGAACATGTCATGAGCGAGCAGTATCAGCGTCGAAAACAATTGAAGCTGGAACCGTTTTTCAAACCTGTTGTTGCTTCTAACCCCTCCATTTATACAACTATTTACAAGCATGGCAGTGGAAGGGCCAGTGGAGGTACATAGCTTCTCTGACTAAGAATAAATTTATTCTGAAGCCCCACTATATGATCATGGCAAAACAAACTATGTATTTATGTATCCACCAAAAAAGGTAACAAAAATGTCTCTACTGTACCCTTTTACTTACAACGATTATAATGTTTATTATGCTTACTGTGTGTATGCTACTGTATTATGTATGTATAGTAGTTTTTATAAGAAAATATTACCCACAAATATATAGTGTCCAGCATACTATATTCGGAAATAACGGACTATCGGCCTTACTGGACACCCCAACCCCCTCCCCTATTGGTCTGTTAAATCGTGGGTGAAGTGTATATACATTTTATACATAGGATTATGAACATAAATACTTATACATACACTATATAAGCTAAATTAAGTTCTGTTCATAATTCTACTGACCGTTTGTTGTGGGTCAAAATCACTGGCTAATAACAACTGATGTGCAATTTCATCTTTTTGGCCTTGAACGGTATTACAGGTCTTAACATGTTCCCTGCACTCTGGTCCTGTTCCTTGCCCATATATCTGTATAAAGAACATGTACACATTGTATACAGTACACACTATTATCCAAAGTTCTGAAAACAGAAAAGCTCCGAAAACTGAAAGTTTTTTGTGGAGGTCGTCTGCACACCAAAGCTCGCGTTTGGCGCCAAAACTCGATCCGACGCGATAAATATACCATTATATATAGTCCCCGGTAACACTGTATACTAGCTGTCATAGCATTTATCCAGAACGTCTGTGCAGAGCAAACCTAATCATCAGCATTAGAAACAAGATAAAGAGATGTCATACTTTCACCAACATTTCCCACACAACCAAGACTCCTAGAAGACCACCTCACATACCCAACAGTGTACATTTTCCTTCTACCTCTCTAATGTGTCGAATAGAAGCTGGATAGGTAAAATGTACCATTTACACCAGTGCCACAATAGTTATCAGCCACGTTAGCGGCTTAATAGGTACTCATTTCATTCTAATACTACAGTATGAAATAATAGGTAGTATTATAAATAGTAGGTGATGAAAATGAAACAACATAATCATGCTAATAATAATATCTTAAACAAACACAATATCAACGTATGTTGAGGTAATTGACTGCGGATACCGAGTAGTATAAGTGCGTAAATGACGCGCGCAAGTACGAGCATAAATATTAGGGCCGTAGCACAGAGAATACAAGTGATATGGCGTGAAATACGCGAGCGTTGCAATGGTCACAAACGGTCGAAAACAGGCGAGTAGCATCGGTTCAACGGCGTTTTTCCGCCTTCCTGCCACCTAATACCCCTGTCACACCTTCCCGCGATCACGCTCGCGCTCCCACTGCGACCTGAAAAGTATGAAAGCGCGAGGAAAAGCGCAGCCCACGGAAATCCATGGCGTGCTGTGACCATGGTGTGACACCATGCAGCTTAACAGTAGCTTACAGTACGCTCTTGACTCGCTTATTACGCTCTCACTGCGATCCTATGCATTCCCAGTTTGATCTTCAGTGCGTTCCCACTGCGCTCTGTGCGCTCTCAGTGCGCTCCCACTGCGCTCTGTGCGCTCTCAGTGCGCTCCCACTGCGCTCTGTGCGCTCTCAGTGCGCTCCCACTGCGCTCTGTGCGCTCTCAGTGCGTCCAAGTAGCTCTCGCTGCGCTCTTACTACGCTCTCAATACGTTTGCAACTCGCTCACTGCGCGTGCGCAGTTTATTTTATTTTGCAGGTTTGGGGACGTCTGACTTTTATGTTTGGGAATTGGGATTTTTTTGTTTAAGTTTAAGTTAATATAACTTTATTTAAAGACATTTAAGAAATTACATAAGCAAGGCATTATGCATAAAAGAAACAGAACAAAATATATTTATTTTAACATTACCATAATTATTTATTTCAAACATACAATATTGTGTACTGTGTACTTGTGAACTTTTGAACTGTCTTTTTTGTAACTGACTTTTAATATCATGCTAGCAGCCTGCAGGTGAATTGAAGTGCAGCTTGAGGTATTCTCGTTGTTTCTTGGCTGCAGTGGTGTCACGGTTGTTCCCTCTAATGTCGTTCAGCTCATGCATGTTAGCATCAGCCCTCCAAGCACCTGGGATCAGTTGGTGGTTGACATCCTCCGCATCCAAGGCAGCATTCTGAATGGTAGGATAACGCAGTCTCATCAAATTATGAAGACAGACGCAGGCCTCGACGATCAGTCGTATGGTGTCAGGTTCATGCTGCATGGTGGTCAGGAGAATCTGCCAACGTTGGGCAAGGATGCCAAAGGCATTCTCCACAACGCCACGCCCTCTAGATATCCTGTAGTTGTAGATCCTATGCTCTTTGGTCATCTTGCGCATCGAGTAAGGCTTCATCATGTTGGTCCGCATCGCGAGCGCATCATCAGCCAGGAAGAAATATGACATGTCCCTGTCGTCATTTGGTAGGGGGTCTGCTGGAGGAAGACAAATGGTCCCATCTACTAGGCACTCATTCAGCTCTGAATCATTGAAGATCTGTGCATCTGACATGTGTCCGTAGCCTCCAACATCTATCCAGAGGAACTTATAGTCCGCATCGACGAGGCCCATTAGAACAATGGAAAAGAAGCCTTTATAGTTGTGATAAAGGCTTCCACTGTTCGCTGGCTTTCTGCAGGCAACATGTTTTCGATCAAGGGCTCCACAGGCATGAGGGACGTTCCATCTACGTGCAAACATTTCAGCAACGGCACGCCCTTCTTCAGGGGAGATTGGACAGCTGATGACTTCCTCCTTGTACTCATCTACGATGGCCTGGCAGACTTCTCGTACTAGGACAGACATGGTGTTATGAGGAACTCTGAAGTCAAACTTCATACTGGCGTACTTGTCACCAGTTGCTAGGTGGCGCATAATAATTGCAATCTTCAACCCTGGTTCCATAGCCTTCCTATTATGGTGTCTTGTTTGGTGCATCTTGGACCAAGTCTTGCTAGGAGCTCATCAAACATCTTTGGTTGTACTCTCAGAAAGTTAAAGAAGAATGCAGGATCTTCGTGTCGTAGCTCGGCCATTAGGCAGTGATAGTGGCCAAACTGAACTCTTCTCCCCACGTCTAACCATGGTCGAACCCAGCATCTCCTCTCCCTTCTTTCCCTCCTCCTTCTTCTGCTTCTAATGATGTTGACAAGGGGCTGGTAATCTTGTGCCTGCTGCGCATATGTGCTAATTCTGTAGTACAATTAGCACATTCTGCCTGTGTGCGGCCATGGTGAAGAGCAGATGCACACTGATTGTGTATAGAAGATGAAGCTGTATTTATACAAAAATGTGTGGGGGGGTCAGTGAAAGTGGGATCGTAATAAGAACGCTCTGTGAGCCTATTGGCTATTGCAAACGTGGGAACAACGCCTTGGACGTATTACGAGCGTCATAGTCTCAGTGGCAGCGCAGTGTGGACGTAGAATGAGCAGAAACACGCCCAGCAAGCGTAGTGGAAGCGCAGTAACGGCGCAATAAGAACGGAAGAGGCACGTATGGAGAGCCCAATGAGCATACAGCAGTCGCAAACCAGTCGCAGTGGACGATTTCTGCGACCCCAAGTCGCTTCTATGCGTTGTTGCTACGTCCACGATACGCTCATGTAGTTCGCTTTGCGCTGCCATGGCGACTGTACTGCGTCATTACACCGCTCATTACAGAGCGCCGACCCGCTGCGCTTGTTTTGATTCGGACCAACACAAGCGCCGAGGTTTGGCGCTCAAGGTAGCTCATGGCGACCCTCTTCCGTTCTTGACAGTTTCCACTGTGTCACCAACTCGTTCTCAGAGAACTTACTGCGCTTTTCCTCGCGCTTTCATACTTTTCAGGTCGCAGTGGGAGCGCAAGCGTGATCGCGTGAAGGTGTGACAGGGGTATAAGGACATATTTATTGCTATAGAGGGTTCCGCGACTTGCACTAAAAATAGCTAAAAATTCCATGCCGCCGGCCATACTGGTTCCAGAATTGCGAACACGTGTTACCGATATGCACAATCGACCTATTTGACATCGATAGATTGTACATACGATAGTGACTGTGTTATTATAGTAAAGTGGATCCCGGTTTTGCAGACAGGTTTACCAGCGCGTGTTTTTTTGGGATGCTAGAGTTCGATATGATTGTGCAGACCCGGTTTTACAGGGTGTTGCAGGCAGGTTTATCAGCGTGGGTTGGGGTGCTAGTCTGCTAGAGTTCAATGAGATTATACAGGTCCGGTTTTGCAGGGCTTTGCATGCAGGTTTATTAGTGTCGAGAGATTGCATGCAACACATATGTTCATGGACTCGAGTTTGTTTACATCGAGTGTTCAGAAATTTCACCGATTTTACTGCATATATATATAGCTATCAAACGCAGCTTTTTATAACATCTGGTGTATGCACATTTGCCAACTGTCTGAAGTGTACGTAGTATGGACAAGTACTTTGATTCACTAGACAACGTAGCCAAAGCACGCTATCTCGAGAAAATTGCGTGCATTGGGAATCGACACCCGTATGAGAATGGAGCGAGGACCACAACTTGTGCCCATCACGTACTTATATGGATCTCGTGAATTTACTACCTAACATTCTAGCCGAGTCCATTTTATACTCTCAAGGACTTTCAGAACCACAAAAGCCTGGATGCCTACGATCGACTGTTCTGCGGTTGGGTTAGTGGTGCATGTACAGGGCTGTAACGATACACAAGCCTCTCGATTCGAATCCTTCGATTCGATTCCCAAAATATTGAAATGTTATCTTATTTTTTATATTTTCATTATTTTGCAATAATAAATTATTAGAAATTGCCAATGAATACTAAATGGTGAATAGACTAGAGAGTCTAGAGAGTATATATAATACACTGCACAGCCGCTGAGTAACACTCCACAGTATATAGCGTAGTGCCGCCATCTATTGGAGGAAAAAAGTGGTTTCGAAGTGGAATCGAAAATACGGGGAAACATATCGAGGATCGGATCGAGGGAAGAGAATCTCGATCCGATTCGATTTCGGTGGATCGTTACAGCCCTAGTGGTGTATCAGTCAACTTCTATCATGTGAACAATGAGAGTCCCATCTACGTTATCCGAGCACGTGTTATGCACTCCCAGTCTCTGATTATACCATCTCTCTATCCGTGCATGGGTCACGATGAGAGAATATGGGACAGGCATCATGTTAGCAGCCTGTAATTGTAAAGCCACCACCCCCACTCAAACAGCTGCCTATTGGATGCCGGCGATATATGTGTATAAGTATAAATGTGTAGCGGCGTGCGCCGTGCGTGCGGTGTACCTGTGCGTTGCAGAGGAGCATTTGACCGGCATTTACAGGTAATTATCGGCAATACTAGGCGAAAGAGAGTAGAGAAATGTTAAGACATTGGTAGTAAATAGAATTCGTATTTATTTAGCATTATATTTTATTGAAATGCTCCAAGTGCCTGTGCCTGTGATCATAGATATAACCAGGAGTAAGAAGTAATTTTTACATTAAATGATTATGATAACTAATAAATTTCTATAAGTATTATAACTTATTATAACCACTAAATATCAAATAATGTTACAATGTTTTTCCGTTTGTGTTGACGATTATGGAGTTTGACTATATTGTTTATCTGCAAAACGCCTGCAAACGTTATTCGCAGTGGCTGGAGGTACGGCAGCCGTCGTTCGTTGAAGCCCCGTTTGGCGTTAATAGGGTTAGGTTTAGGGTTAGGGTTAGGGTTCTAGCTCATCTAAACTCTCAAATTGTTAATTTATTTCCCAAGGCATTATTTCGAAATCTGGCGCCACCCGCCGCCATCTTTGTCTCGTTAAGTATGAAAGCAAATGGACTGCCGTACCTCCAGCCTCGAGACATTAAGATACGGCTGCCGTACCCGTAGCCACAGCGTTTTAATTTTTGATGGGGGGTCTTTGAATGGCCCGTCCCGTTGAATTCCTGCAAGGAGGAGGTCGATCTTGGGCTCAAATGAAAGGTAAGTGATCACGTCCAGTCCTCCCGTTTGAAACCTCTCCTCTAGTTAATCGAATTGAAAATTATTTGAGTTTTTCTAAGAAAATGGCTCTGAAAAAGCTAAAAAAGCTGTTAATCTGTACTGTAGAGACAAAGAAGTTTCACTCGAATTTAGAAAGTATAATGTATTTACAGTTTTTTCATGTACTTTGTGTTATAAAACGTTTAGTAGTTCAACGGGACGGGGAGAAATTAGATGCACGGGTCGTTCTGGAACGCTGCCAAAGTGGTTCTACATTACTCATTAGATGTATACAAACACATGACATGTGCCATGTGGCCACTGAGACCTTTATCACGCTTTGTTTAACACTGCAAACTTTACAGCTCCATTTTCGAGCCTTTGTCTTTTGCTGAACTTGAAACATGCCACAGGAGCAGCATTTTAGCACATTAAAGATCTGAGGCATTATAACGACGTGAAACCAGATAAAAAGTCAGTCTCTGCAGCTTTGAATCTGAGCTTTGAATCACTGCTTTGAATGCGCGGGTGAAATCAGCGCCATCTCTGGGTAAATTGAAGAAGTCACATAAAGTGGAGTACAGGGGGCAGCACTCTCCAGTAAACATACTTGTAGAAACGTGGGACACAGAGTCAGCTCATCGGCGTCTTTTCTCAGTGATAACTGGAACAAAACAAACATGCTTCTTCGCAGAATAATTTGCACGGTTCGGAAAACACCCTTGAGAATTAAATATCGTGTCTACAACAATCCATTGACGTGGGCTATGGTAAGTAAGCTGCAGTGCAGTGAAGTGTACAAGCGAGTACGGAGTAGGGTTGCCGATAACCCGACCAGGCTGTGTGACTAACGTCAATACACCGTCAATAACGTCAATTATTTCTAACCCTAGCTTGGAGCTAGGATTAGCTAACCGTTTCTTGGAGCTAGGTTGCCGATTGCGCATTACTGCCATTGCCATTGGGATTGTCATTACTGACATTACTCATTAGTAAATATAATATATTGTAATACTAATAATACTAATACTAATACTAATAGTAATATATAATAATTGTATATAATAATAGTATTAGCGATTTGCGCATAGTAAACCTGCTACTGTACGTAAGGCTGGTATATGGTATAATGAGCTACTATAATGTTAATATACATCTACTGATTTAGTACTATAGCCCGCGTACGGTTGCCTGGGGCAACTGTACGCGGGCTATGCCTAGTAGTAGTACTGCTGAGAGGGTCTATGTCCCCCAGGGTACTGCCGGAACGTACCCTGGGTACGGTCTGGTATACCGGAACACGTACCCTGGTACCAGAACATATAAATCAACGTGATTTATATGCTCTGCTGGTACTATCTAATATGCCGGACCGTACCTCGCCTACTCCACTAACGAGTCTATGGAGTCGCCTACGCCTACTCCCTAACCCTAACCCTAACCCTAACCCTAACCCTAACCCTAACCATATCAGATAGTTACCAGGTATACCGGACCGTACCCAGGGTACATTCCGGCAGTACCCTGGGGGACATAGACCCTATGAGCCCTAGTACTTGAGCTAATACTAATAGTAATAATGAGGTTGGCTACGAGCTAAACCGACCAGGCTCTCCGACTGTTACACGTCGTCGCCAACGTAGTGTTAAGCGAGAAGGGAACTTGTGGCTAGCAACGAGCATGATTATGTATGCATCTAGTAATCGATGTACTGCGAGGATCGAGGGAGTATGCACTACCTACCTACACATTATCACATAGATATTACTAGACAGAGTGCACTCACGGAGAGTGCATACCTCCGCCAGCGACATACGCCATACGACTCACAAACACACGAATAAGCCATGATATACGCCAGCGTACTGACATGTACACGCTGGCTTGCTGGCTTGTAGATACATAGTGCGTTCGATTTGCTTCCCCAAGTTAACCTGGGTCTACTCGGGCCAGCCCCAAATACGTTCGATTTGGCAGTCACGTGGTATTTTTGCGTTACCCGGGTCAACCCAGGTGAGGATGAAGTAACCCGCTCGCCGAGCCGCTCACTTGGGGGGGGGGCTTGGGGAAGTATCCCACAATCCATTGCAATGACACCATGCATGGCAACGATACATCAGTGCGGGAATTGCATGAATGTAGCAGTAGTAATGAAGCAGGACTGTCAATGACTGCGTGTGTTTGCCCATTCAGTTCAAGGATAGAGATGATGTCCAGGACGGTGATTGGATAGGATAATTATTATTACTGGACATGCTCTCTATCCTTGAGCCCATTCTTAGATTGCAATTGCTATTCTTTTTTTCTTGTCACTGGCATCCATGATGATAATTAACCCGGGTTAACCCAAAAACCATTTGTTTATCTTCCCTAACCCAGATGCGTTCGATTTCGTACCCAGGTTAACCCAGGTGGCTCTGGGGAAGCAAATCGAACACACTAACAATAATGGAAACCCAAAAACAGGATATCCTGTGTTTGGGTTACATTATTGTATCTAGCTGGCTTGCTGCTCGATCGCTCGTAGCAGCCGCTCGTTGCTGCTGCTCGCTGATATGTACACGCTCGCTGGCTCGCTGCACTGGCTGGCTCGCTGGCTCGCTGGCTCGCTGGCTGACGCGCTAATATCGATCGCGCGAACACACGAACACACGAACACACGCACACGAGAGCGAAAACATAACCTCCTCCAACTCCGTTGGGCGGAGGTAATAAGCAGTAATAAATTTGTCACGCGCACTGCGCGCATGAGCGCGGACACAC